CTGCCTCCAGCCCGTGTCTGCTGCTTCTCCTAGATCTCCAGCCACGATCCGCTGCCTCTTAATCCTTCCAGCACTTCGTCCGCTAGTTCTCCAAGTTCTTGCCTTTGCAAAAGCCACCAACTGTGTCTGCTTTCTGCGCCAGCCTTCTTTGTCACACTCCAGCCAAATTGCTTATGACGATTTGAAGATATCTAGCCGATTTGCTCAATTTCACCAGCTCTCTGCATACGCACTCCACGTGTTTTTGCCAAGGTGAAAGTTCTGTCGAATGGTAGGCTATATCTCGGTTGAGCCCCCAAAAATTGCAGGGTCCTCTTTTAGAAAAGATGACGCTGACTTAAATAGTATGATGATATGCTTTATTCACATTCGACTTGTTAACTTAGGTTTTACAAAATATACGTGTGCTATTAAACTGTACTCTTCGAGATTCTGGCAGCGAGTGAGTATGGCGGTGCGTTGCCACTTTCCACTCACGTTGCAACTGGGTATCGAATACAACTTCGGAATATCGAGTGTTACTTAGGAATATCGAGTACAGAAAGGGAAAGATATTAGATCAGTAGGTGAGACCGCTTCTAGTGGTCCTTGTCTCTCCAGTACCGCATCCCACATGTATGTTGGCTGCAGTCGTTCTTACATCTCGTGTTGCATTTTATTGTGGCAGGCCGGCTGTGACACGCATACATAATTTACATTACCCATGTGCGGGTGTTGAATTTAATTACAATTTCAACTGCTGCAAATGCACCATGATGCACAAACTCACTGAGAGCAAAAGCAACCGAATTCGCCTTGGTTATATATTATTTTATTGTATTCAAATTGATTGTAATTAAGACAATGTAGGGCTTCCGCATCTTGAATTACATTTGGTAAAGTTATTTTTAGAATACAATAAATAAACACAATTGTAAGCTGTTTCAAAAAATGTATTAAATATACATTTAAATATATACACAAAATATTTATATCAATTTTCAACAAGCGTTTTATATTACAAATTGGGTATTGATTTTGTAAGATACTCTTTTCTGTTTCATAAATTTGTTCTACTAAATTCCCTATTTCCCAAATCATTTCTTAAACCAACATGTTCTGAAAGATACATCCGTGATATGCCTCAAATGTAAGTGCAATACTTAAGGCTGCAGTAAAGATATTGTTGTCTTTTTCGCTGGGCACACACAATACGCACCGACTATTGATAATGCCGGCCAACGGCACGTATACGCAATAACATTAAATTGGCATTGGCGGCGCTCTAAAAATATGGCCACACTCGAATGCAGCAGCGGCAACTCGAGGCGGAATTGCAGCGGGAAAAGAAGAACTGCTGCTGACCCACTTTGACTTTGGCTTCATAACTAATTCACGCACACACCGGCATGCCACACACACACTAACACACTCGTCGAGAGAGAGACACACACATGGGCAGTACATAAAACATTGTGTTACATGGACCTTCAGGCACCTGAGCGCGATGTGTGCCTCGAATTGGGTCGGAATGGGTTGGAATGGGCCAGAATGGGTTGGAAGGGCTCAGAATGGGTTGGAATTGTTCGGTTCGGCTTGGATCGGTGGAGAAAGTGGGCAGAGGGCGGGGTTAGGAGGGTCGAGTCGGGGTGTTGCAATATAATTAAGGTGGAATAACTTACGAGTGTTTGTGCCCGGGCTCGTGTGTCTGTGTGCGGAGTGAAGTGTCTGTTGCGTTTAAAATTGATGCGATTTAAGGGTAAGCGTGTTAGCGAGGAAATGCGGTTGCAACAATATTTTAGCCAACACAATGGTTCAGCCCTTTAAATGGAACCCTCTTTTCAGATTTAACCACCTCTTCCCTACGAGTATTTTACTGCAATTTTGAACTTGAACAAGGTATCTTGGTACTTTAAGATTTAATATCTCTTAAATTAAGCAAATTTCTTGAAAAGTTTACACTTAAGTGAAGCAAATATGTAAATAAACATGTCAATATAATATCAATACAACCATTACACAAAAATGTAAACTATTTCAACCTATTTGATTTGGTCTTCTAAAATAGAGAATAAAACCTTTGTTCGCATTAAGTACATTACCAAGACATTTGGCAACTTTAATAGAAAAACCGCCAGTCACTCTTACATCAGTGTAAAATCGAAAGCACATAGGTTAAACAGCGGGGACTCGAGCAAACAGGCAAGAATGTTAAATATGAAATTCCATTTTCCATTGACAAACTCTCATTTTTTATTTGCTTATGTCAAAGGGGGAAAACCAATCGAAGAAATAACGGAATAACGAAAATTTTATGCTGATTAAAATCTTATGTCATGGCTAAGCCCAACGACAGACAGACAGACAGACAGACAGGCATGCAGACAGATGGACATGCAGACTGAGATCCACAGATCCACAGAGGTCCACAGCTCAAGGAGGCACATCCGTCGTCCGTCGTCCTCGTTGGCCACTAAAAGAAATTCCCCATTCAAATGCGAATTCGAACAACTTGTGTACATTCGTGCAAACTCAATCTAAAGGACATATACATAAACTGCAAGATGTTCTCGACGTTCCACACGTTTCACCTACATTTCCGCCTAACCACCCACCAAGCCACCCAACATATGTATGTCCAAGTAACATTGTTAGGAGCAGAAGGAAAAAAAGGCAAGCCGCTTACTTAGAACGGAAATTTTTATGTCCCTCAACGTCAAACCCATTGCAGTAAGGACTATGTTCTTTTTGCCGGTTGGTTCATCTTTCCTCCTGCGAAATGCACGTTGAAAAGTTGGGCTATCTCTAAAGGTGAATTTATAGGTTCTGGCTTTCTATTTCACTTGTTATTAAAACAGTAGGTAAAAAATAAAATAAAGGAGTTGGGAAAAATATAGAAACTTGTTCCTTTTGTAAATATATCATTCTGGTATCGATTTCTATGACTATTTTTAGTACATCCTGCAGCCAACATATAGTATTACCTCAAAATTGATTTTATTTTCCCCTGTGTAAGCTCAGCGCTTTCTTAACATCCCAGTTTCATCGATTTTGTAGTGTTCTCTCGACCTGCAATGCACTCAATGCGTCTGGCACTTTGAGAGCATCGCTTAATGACTAATTTGTCCTGGCAACCTGTGTGTGTGTGTGTGTGTTTGTCCGACAGTCAGTCATTCACTCAGTCAATCAAGTTTGTTGCATAATAAACTTTTTTAACATTTCTGCTGGCCAATTGGCCCTTTTCATGCGAATGCCCTGGCCCTTTGAAGTCGAGGGCCAAGCAAAATGAATCGAAGCCAATCGATATTTGTGATTATTTAATAAACTCAATTACGAGGACATGAACCGCCCACTAAGTGCGTGTGTATTGATCCCCCCTCCCCACCTTCAGCCCGCTGCAATTGTGGGGTTAATGCACTTTGGCCTGTTCCTCGAACCAATCGAATGTCCGTCATAGTTAAAGTTTTCTGGCGGGGGCAGGGCTAAAAGTCAGGCGGAGTGCAGTGGAGTAGAGCCTTCAACTTTTCCAACTGACATTTTTAATTCGTGGCTAATTTGACATTTAAGGATGCATACAAAGCCGGCAATTGTGTGGGACAAAAAAGTTGCTGAAAAACTTTTTTGAGCTATGGAAAAACTGGCAATTAAATGGCTAGTAAACATTTTCCGCAGTCAGGAATACTATTCGATTCGATTTTTTTAAACATATTTTAATTTGACAGTTTTTTACGAGCACATACAGAGAGCAGCTTACAAGCCGAGAAAATATTCTATAACCTGGGCAACAACTCCATCTATTGTATATTCTATATTTACTCAGTATGCTGCAGGCAGTTGTTGCTGCTGCTGTTTGCGGCACGTAGCAACGCTCAGCAAACATTTAATTCGAGTCAAGTTGGCAGCAAGAAACTGAGACACACACGTCCCATAACCCCCTATATATAACCCCTCTATAAAGCCCTTCTATAACACTCCCCCCCACAAAGTCTGTCTGTCTGCCTTGCCACACAATAAAATGCGAAACAAAACCTCAATTCAAAGTGAATATAAATTGTTTTACAGCTGACGTTTGCTTTGAATTTCAAATTGTTCCCACACCGACAGCATGGCAAAATGTTAACCCCCTGGCGACCCCGTGGGAGCTTTGGGACCACTCAGCTGCATCGATGGCTGGCGAAAGGTCATTGTGTTAATTGGAGCGTAAGTGATGATGATGTCCTCCACTATCTCTCAATTGCCAAACCCTCGGGCGGAGTCCTGCTGCCCATTGAGCCATTAAATATCGCTTGGCAATTAGACTTGGCCATTTTTAGTGGCACTATGAATAGGCAATGGGCCACAAGCCGCAGTCCGATGCAGTCGAAGAAATGTGGTTTTATTATTAACCATATATTATTAGGAAGGTCAGCTAGGAAAGGTTGGGAAATATAACATTTATAGTACTTTAATCTTGTTAAAGAATATGGTTTGAATATCTTGCTCTTATATTAAGGAAGTAATAACTTTAATAGATAGTTTTAGAACTTTTAATTAACAAAGGTTTACAAAAATTAAAAGGACCTTAAACATTATATCAACATTTATCTCTAAGGACATAATAAAATTTTCGTTTACGTCGATTGTAAACTAAATAATTTTAAAAATGAACTTTGTAAATAGTACTTGTTAGTATTGATTACTTAGTTGTTTGTATTACTTTATTAACGTCTGTTTATTGGGATTATCTACCATTTTTTAAGGTCGTTATAATATATTCCAAAATATATAATTTTAGCCATCCGAAAGCCCTAACAGCTAAACTCATTAGTAGCTTAAGCTTATAAAATTCCGCATTTCTCAGAATATTTTAGGAACCCATTAATTTGGTACTTATAGATATTACTATATTATATAGTTATAATATTACTAAATTTATAATGCCTTACTTATTCGATTTAAATGACTTTTTCCAGTGCTCCAGTAAGTTTACCAATTTGTGTAGTTCTTTTTTATAAATTTAAGGTTCCCCAGTGACCACTTACCCGATCGTCCGATGGCCAGATCCGTCTCCAAGGCCGTTGTGGCCGAGGAGAGCGACTTGTCGGTGGGCAGGGCGGCGGGCGGCATGGGCAGCGGACCCACCGTGGAGGTGGTGGTCAGGTCGCAGCACTCGCGCTCGGGGAACTCGCTGCCCAGCGCCAGGTGCAGTGCACCGCCGAAGAGCACCACCCACAGGCTGAGGCAGCTGGAGAGGATTTTCAGGTTTTTTATGCGAAAGCGGGTCATGTTGTGGCCGTATCCTCCTCTTCCGCCACTTCAAATGTTGGTTAAAGTTGATTCGTTCTATTTGCTTTCACCACTGTCGTCGGTGGCTTAATTTGGGTTTATTTTCATATTTCTCAGTTCACATACTTTTGGGTTTATTTTACTTTTGCGACTGTTTCACTTCTGTTTGCCTTTAAATAAATGCAGATTTTAAAGCTGAACATTTTAAAGAACAAACTCTCTTCGCCGAATGCCAAAATGTTGACTTTAAAACAACTCTGGCACTGTGCTGGCTTTGTGAAAGCCGGGAAAAACTGGGCAATGGAAAACTCTCGAACTGAGTGGAACAGAAAGTGCAGGGGGGAAAATTCAGAGGACGGGGACATCACGTCGACAGTCAAACTATGAACAGCATTTACAATTACTTTCGACAAAAATGTATATAGACAACAATAGACATAATGCAGCAATAACGACAGCAACAACAGAAAAAGAATGGGGGGCTAGACGATGGTTCCGCCCCCTGCAAACACTGAATAACATAAAAACTTTTTCATTTACAATTTGCTCAGTGGGTCTATGGCCATGTAGCGAAAACGCAGAAGACAAGCGGGTAACAAGAAAATGTTGAAAAGTTTTTTGGTAAATGCGAAAAGTTGTGGCTCCTCTTCTGGCTGTTGTTGTTATTCCTTCTGCGGCTTTTGCCTTATACCGCTCCGCTATCTAAATCCAGCGTTTCGGTGGCGTATGCGCAATATGCAGTATGCACACCAAGGCAAACTGTAAAATCCCAAGCTGGGAAAATTAATTCACTTTGCCACTTTGGCAGCGCCTTTATCGGGCAAATCGCGCAGCTCAAATGTTTGTCGAATCAATAAAAATATAATTTGCTGCGATTTGGCTCAAAGGAAATGCAAACACTCGAGTGCTAATGCAGCAGGATAGGGATAAGGATAAGGAATGGGTGTTGAGGAATAGGGAAAATGTGGAGGGGCAAACACTGCTCCTGTGCACAATCATGTAAACAAATCCCGGCGACAGAGGACTGACGACAGACGGGCAAATGCAACACGCATCTTTGGCGCAGGAAAAGCGACTTGGAAAAATTATTACCAGACATGATAGAAAAAACAAACAGCACAGCGAAAAAGCAAAGGATATTTACCATCTGGGTGTTGGAATATAAAATTTTTGTACTCAAACTCAGCAAATAAATTAGGCAATGAAGAAAATTCTACATACAAGCCCACTTTCTACTACTATAGATCCATTTTCAAGACCGTATTTAAGTTATTTGAAAAGGGTATTCTAAATTATTAATATTTTGACAACATATTTTTTGATCATTTTGATCATACACTCTTAAGGCTGACTTCTATTTTAAAAAAAGTCCTTGAATTCTTATACAACTGTATCTCAGGGGTGTAGTTCCAGATCTTGCTGAGTAATCCTAGAAGCATGTTAAAGTGCAGAATTATAGACCCACTACCTTTTTTCCCTGCGAAAGAGACACGTCGCAGTGCAGTCAATCACGTGGGCGTCGAGTGGGTGGCAGGGGGTTCAAAGGAGGTCGAAGGACGAAGGCCGAGGCGACGAAAGTTGCCAGTCAACGGAGCGAATGCAGGCAAACGCAGACGACAAATGGCCGGGGGAAAATGTGAATGGAGAGGCGCCAAGGCGTTTTCCGCATTTCCCTTGTTGTTTCTGCTTGAAATGATTTTTTCCAGCCAGCCCGCAGTTTTTCCCATCCCAACACTCCCTCTTTTTTCTCGCTGTGCAAACGCGGCCGCCGTTTGAGATGTGTTTTCAGGGCTGTCGTTTGCTTTTGAGCCAAAGTGTTGCCATAACGAGCGTAAAATGGCGGCAAAAAGACGACTATGACGACGGGCAAAGACAACATGCAACGCGCTGCTGCAATCTAAAAACAAACAGTCGCCCTTTGTGTGTGTGTGTGGAAAAAATAACGAAGCGAAAATTGAAACTAAAATAAAGCCATGTTTACCTCGCAAATTGTTACGTGTGAGCAGAGACGAGCAGAACGGCACAGGAGCCAGCCTCCGCCTCAAAGTTTATTTATTTAAAGTTTCAACTTTTTGCATAAGTTATCGTTGAGGCCAAAAGGCGGCCAGCAGCCAGCTAGGCAGCCATCTGTGCCCTGCAATTGGGCTGGTAATGTGTAATAAATAAAGCAAATTAAAGCGCACAGACTCCATAGACCGCATGGTCAGGATCCAGGGCCAGGATCCTAGAGCGGAACCGAAAGTCCGGTCTCAGCTCACCAGCTGTGCAAATATCTGTGTCAATGGCCCCCGACTTTGAGAGTCAGCTTAGCATTTAAATATATCCCCTGCCCTTTGAACCCTTGCTATCCCCAAACCCATATAGATGTGTGTGTGGGCTGACCAAACAAGCCAATAAATGTACCACAAATTTGTATGTCAAGCTCTCCGAGTCACTGCATCGACACACTTGGCCAGTCCTCGGCCTGGAAAATAGAGAGAATGCCACATGCCTTTCACATGCCATGCCGAAAATTCGATTTAAATTGGAATTCTTTAGTTCTTAAGTCCAGAAAAGGGGCAAAAGTGGGGGCCCTGAGAGGGTGACACAACACTTGGCGAAGAATCCCGGGAATGCAGGACGAGTCAAGTGCATTAAATAGAACGATAGAATATCTAATTAGCCGCCTGCCAGTGTCGGGATCTCATAAAAGTTGCTCCTCCTTCGCCAACTGGCTGACTGGCAGTCAACGAAATTGCCGGGAAACTTTCGCGGCTCTGATATAATTATGTGCAACATAACAACTTGATATCCCAGTTCCTTTGAGGGCTCCTCCTTATGCGGTTGCACCTTGACGTCTCAACAGGATGCGGTGTCGAGTGACAGTCGTTGTCCTTCGGAATGTCTTCTATGCATGACAAATGCAATTGGAGCCGCCAAGTGCTCGGCTGGCAAAGTTAATTGTGATCCAGGGTAATTAACTTCCTTAAAGTCAAGGGGGCATCAAGGATTTCAGAAAACAGAACCGCAACATTTAAAACTCATTGTAAATGCTTAAAATGGAGAGCCTTTTTCCCACATAACAGCGTCTTAAAACAAAACAAATTATAAATTAAAATATAAATAAAAATATATTTCTTCAAAAAGCTTTTAAAAATGAAAATGTATTTCTCAAGAAACAGGAAAATTTCAAAAATGTATCCATCAGATATAACAATAAATAAAGAGGCGTTATTAAAATATCTTTAAGTTCTTCAATGAATTTTAATCATTGTTAATATGGTAAATGGCTTGAAACTTGACACATGTGTGTACCGTTTTAAGAAACCATCTTAGAAATCTATAAATGCTTTTTAACCTCTCTAAAAAATCTACTTTAGGAGTCCTTTAAAAAGGATTAATTACAAAAACAGCCAACTCTTTCATGGGAAAAGTTTGGTAGAGTTTTTGGTCAACTGCTGTCTGCCTAACTCCATTCATAATTACAGGCCCGAGCGAAACTCTAATGAAATTTTAATAGGGCGAAAGTTGGGGCAGTCCGTGGGTAAACAATCAGATACGTAATGAGTGCGCAAATGTTTGCCGCTTCAAATGCAAAACTTGTTTCCCCCATTTCACTGCGCGCCGACTTGTTTGGAAATCAGCCACGAATCCTGGGAACTTATTTGGCCTGTCTGTCTTTCTGCCTGTCACGGGGTCGTAACACGGCCTCATGTATTATGTAGTGCGATTTTTATTGTTTGTGAAAGTTTAAATGGGGCTGGAGGTCGCGTCTGCGGATGCTGTCAAGTGCCCTCCCATCGTGAACTTGTCCGACCTGTCCTGCTGCCTTGATTTCCCAGCCAGTTCGTCTCGTCTCACCTTAATTCAATCATCGGCACATATGATAATTGCGAAATCACGTTCGATTTAGAGCGACTGATTACCAACTTTCTCTTTAAACTCTGCCCTTTTGCCACTATATCCTTCTTCAAAGTTCAGCCATAAAATGACAGAATCGATTGATTCCACCGTGCAGACTGATGGTGGCACTTGAAAATTCGTGTCTGGCCTCTATTTATATTTACTGTATGGTAGGTATGTTGCCATTTTATGACTTTAATTTATGAGTATTGATTTCAGGTCTGTGAATCGCAGCAGATGTCATCGCAGGTACACGAATATTTCTAGGCTGGCAGGATGGGTTAGAAAACGAATCAAACATTTAAATTATACCTGGTGAGTGGCGGCCAGGAGAGTGGTTTCCCCCTAATTGCCCGCAGATCGAGTGACGCACAAAGTCGGGAATGGTGCTTTGCCCTTTCCGATTTTACAGTTTTACAAATATCGATTGATTGCCCCGCCTAATGGGCCAATTAAAGCGATTACACAAATCGTTTTGGGCCAGCGCAAGTGCATGGAAATGGGCCAAAATACAAATTCACCTCGCATCATTAATAAATGTCGCTGCGAAGGCTACGAAAAGTCGAGCAGTGTACGACGCAGGTTAAAGGCATAATCCAATCGACCAGTGCACATACACACATGGCTCAGACCTTCAGACTCGGGGGACCTGGGCATGGACCTGGCATTAGGATAATGGATGATTACGGGGAAACGTGTGGCATGGTCTCCTCCAATGTGGCCTGGGTTTGGACTTGGGCTTGGTCTGGGTATGGGGATCGTATCGGGATTGGGATTGGGATGGCATGGTGCCATTTACATGCAGCAGCAAAGTTAGTCAAAGTCATGTCTCGCAGTAAGGTATCACACAATATTCACATACCACATACCCTGGTTGGCAAGGTGCTCCTCTGGCATTTGAATACGTGGTAAGCTTCTATATAAATTCAGTTCAGAATTATTCAATATTCAAACTCGTTTGCAAATAGGGAAATGGTATAAGTTATCTCAAAATTTTAGGTTAAAATCAGTTGGGAAAGATATTTCAAGCCAGGAATAAATTCAACATTCATTTTTTAGGCATTATTGAAAAATATTTATTATATAATCTCGATTTTTTAAGTATTAATTTTTAGTTTGTAAAATAAAATCAAAGAATAAAGTAGAAGAAACTATACAAATCTTCAACATATATTTGATTTAGAAAAAAATGTTATATTAAAAATTTCAACGATTCATTTAGTTTCGAATCTTATCTTTTTTATAAAATATAGAACTCAACATAAAACTAAATTTAAAGCCCTTTTGA